ATTTTCAGACAAATAAACAACTGTTTCCTTCATATCATTTATTTCCTGAACGACTTCTGGGGCCCTAACACATGTATTGGTGTTATTTAAATTCAAGCTTCTATATCTACACGAGCATGCCTTAGTGTATGTCTAGTGGCTGATCCACAGTAAAAATGTGTTGCTGTTGAAAGGCAAAGCTCCAACAAAAATATGAAATGAAAATTCTAGTGAATTTCAGAAAATGATTAAATCTTTCCTTTTTATAAATGTACTCTCTTTTCAGAATGAAAATACCTTGTGCAGCAGGCCAACATTGATTTAGAATTGGAACGTTAACATAATGACTGAAACTTCAAACTCTTTTTTACGGCGCTACGGGGAGTGAAGTTAGTTCAGCAGCTATGTTTGGGTTTGACTCATGTGTCATGAAGCTGGGAGATCGCCATGGCAACAGCATGAATAACCTGCTATAGAGAAGGTTAACACGTCTATAATAAAGAGACATGTAAGAAAGAGCTTCTAACAAACAGAAGGACGATGTACGTCACTTAATACATTAAAAAAAAACAGTTGAATTGCTCTAAAATTATTTAATAACCGACCGGATTCCTTACACTTTGTCTATGTTTTTCCCCTCATAATGACATGGGGAGACTTCGTGATAATTGGGTAAATAAACCATTAATGAGTTAAATAATTATCGACATATTGTTAATTAGCTCCCACTATAATAAATGCAACATGTCAGTCAGAAAGACCCTACCTTACTTACTACTACCAACATTGTTTTTAAATTTTTCAATCATATATTCATTCATGTTTTATTATTATAAGACAAGAAGGCAAAATATAATATATTAATAAAGTATTTCTGGAGTTTATTTCTTCTGGTTGGACGTCACGTTCCTACACATATTTTTCATCTCTTATCAGATTAAGAACTAGTCCTTGTTATGATGTCGTCTGTAATTGACAGCTCTACCATTTTCACATGAAGGCGCTTATAAACGGAAAGAAAGCAGCTTCATAAACACAAGTTATCCTGATTCACTATTGTTAAACCAAGACATTATTTTAAATCTAAAATAATGTGAGGATTAATTGTATTTGACTTCTTAAAGAGATTTACAGAAAAACATGTTGCATGATCCCTTTTATTATCAGCAGCAGTAGAGACTAAATACCTTCAGTTCATAAAAAATGTCTTGCAAAATATGTGTTGGCCTATATTCTGGTGTACTGTCCTACCAAGCACAGAACAGATGGGTGATCGGACATTTTTAGGAGGAGAGATTTAAAAACCCCAAGACTCTCATGTTTACCTCTTACTGACAAAGCCCCTGGAGTGAATCGTACCACATACGGGGACACAAGGACGTGCTGCGAGTTAAACCCTGAAGGTGTTTGTTTTCTGGTATAAATACAGCCTGTGGAGAAAGCAGTGAGGCTCACCGTGGATAATGAGCTCCGAGTCTTTGTTGACTTCGTAGAGACGCAGAGCTTCGTCCAGCTCCAGCTGAGAGGAGACGGTGCAGGGGTCACCTGACAGCAGAGGAGAGACAACATGTCATTAAAGAGAAAAGACACCGGGAGAAAGCAGGAGCAGGAGGGCATCCGAGAGGGTTATTATATCCTCTGAACTGAACGTATTCCTGTGAAACCTACATAATATATAGAACATTTTATATTTGATTTGGAAAGAGAGCTCAGTGAGAGGCTCTGTAGTGAGAAGGTGGAGCGTATTTGTCCTTGTGGGAGAAAGAAAATGTGTCTGAATTTGACACGAAAAGTTCAGCCGCGTAAACTGACTATTTCAGTTTGAGTTTGTGTTAATGATATATACGTAGAATGATGAGATGATAGAACAATTAGTTGGACATTAATCTGCATGTATTTCTGTTTTTATTTAAAAGGGTTCTTACGTCACAATTAAGCAGAACATTCACTAGTTTCAACCAAATGCTTTTTTTATAGGATAGTAAACTCAATACATGCAGGTGTGGGCTTTTTGTGGGACTTCCCAGCACAGGATTTTTTACTTCTTGAGAAAATAAAAGGTTAGATTTATTAAAAGTAAAAAAGACGCAGCCTTTAATCCCTCTTCCATTTTGCCACACTGATACATCATCTTTTCATCTTGTTTAGAACAAGTTGTGTCAGAATAACCAACAATCAATGTTATTGATGTGCTCCTCATTAGGTGCTTGTATTGTCCAACTTTCATCATTTGATTTTTGTAATTTCTCCTTTTCAACCCCGCAAAACACCATGTTTGAAATCCGGTAAGAGGGACCAGTGTAATTTGCATGACATTTATAGATATGTTAATTGCAGGGAACCCACAATGGCTAGGTTAATTTTAATTACACAGAACAACAGGACTGAGTAAAAACAATTACCCTGTACATTATACGGTATTATTCAGAGCAAAAGGTGAATTATAGAGTGGGCAGAATGACATTTAAAAATAAAAACGTTTAAGCATTGCAGGTGTGAATTGCAATACGTGAACTTTGAGTAATCATGGGAAAAGGTGTAAGAGCACACAGTCGACGCTGCCATGTAATATGGGTTCCTATAAAATGTACCTGCCTATTTGCACAGCGATCAATCTAAGTCAATAATTAAAATACCACTCGGACGCAGATCTAATTATTTCCTTATCAGTACAGAGTGACGCACTCAGAGAGCCGATAGTGGATCTATTCTTGGTTTCTACCCAACTAATCACAGAAAACCGCTGACTTCATAAATAGCTTGAGAACAGAAACTATGGCACACCGTGTACATTTAACACATACACAAACTTCTGGAGGTTGACAGAAAACTAGGATGTGTGGGAGGATTACATCTCGTCTGGGTCTATCTGAAAGTTTTGGTTTCCGGAGTCATTAGGTTTGTGCGTGCACAAGACGGAGAAAATACAAACAGGAAGGGACAGATTATTTACAGTACATTAAAGCACTGATAGGGATGAATCACACACCAATGTAATGTCCCCATGTCAGTAAGTTCAGTAAACTTCCGCACTGAATGATGCACTTTGAGGTCAGCCAGCAAGATTTATATTTACTTTTTATCCTGGTATTATTTGGCATGGGGGAAAGAAGCAAGAATATTTTAATGACTACAATCTTTAAGGTGCAGCATTCTTTCAACAGGCTTCTTTTAAACAGCAGATTACAAAAGATGGGCTTGTTTGTTGTATAAGATTACATTAAAAGGAGACCTATCATGCAAAATGCACTTTTGTACGTCTTTTATAAATGAATATGTGTCCCCGGTGTTCCAGGGAACTCACCAAGTGTCAGAAAACACAACCCTCTCTCTTTTCCTCCATACCCAAATCTCTAAAAAAGGGGCCGCAACAGATCTGATACAGACTGATCCAACACTTCTCTGACGTCACATAAGTGGCGCTACGGCTATTGGGCCAACTCCACCAATCAGGAGGAGACAGCCACGGACATTTCTGTTCAAAAGCGCT